AATATCTAAAGAGAGTGATATGGTTGTGTGCATGTCCTTTGAAGAGCCTGTGCACAACTTGCAGACCTTCATTTACATGTTGCACTTACTCCTAACTGGTGACAGTAAGCATCAGCAACATGTAAGCTAGTCTTGGTGGTGATGGTGTTTGTTTTCACTCTGCTGCAGAGAGAAGCCAAAGTCATTACATGGAAAGAACTTTTTTTTTTTTTTTTTAGTGAAGTGAAACAAAATATTTAAAGACTATGAGAATTCATCACTCCTTCACTTCTCGTTCTACTTCATGGTCTTGTGTTCATGCATTTTGTGGTGAACTGTTGCTTCCACAGTTAAGGAGGGTATGGAAACATTTGACTTATGTTTCGAGGACTGTGGTAGACTTGGCTTTCAGTTTGATGTATATGTGCTTTTAAGTAATTAAGGTAAAATCATGTTGGGTCTAAAACAAGTCTCCTGCTTCTAATCGTGTAATCTCCAAATATCAGATCAACTTTAACTAACAGTAAATGAGTGGAATGGCCTGTCTAAACCTTCTAAAAAAACCCCACAGATTTCAGTGTGTTCCAATAACCATATTGTTTGTAACAATTTACCATCATCTCAGAATTCTGTGTGATTCAGAGCTCATAGAGGCAGATTGCAGAAAACTGTGGAAGAACAATGTACTTCCATCCATCAATAATCCCTCCATGTAGCTCTGTTCTGGCTCCCAGCAGCTACACATAGTTTGCATGCTTGGCTGATTGACTGCATTGTCTATTGTGTCATGCATAACCACTACTTTAGATGCCATGAAAAGTATCTCTTATAGCTGCAGGGAAAAACAAACGACATCATCAAAATAAATAACATACAAGCAGGACTACACATGATCCAAATGCAGTGGGGGAAAAACTAGTGAGTTTGGCTGGAGAGTTCTAGTTTTCATTAAAGAATGCCTGTATAATAAATTAGCACTGAGTGTTATTAACTAAGCAGAGACTTCCTGTTTTTGTTTTTGTTTTTTGAGCTTGACTCATGCTAACTTAGTAATACATATTTGTTTGTGTCACCATGTAAAACTACATATTACATTTTAGGTTACATTCAGGAAGAGAACCTGTTTCATTGACAATTAGGTGTTCATATGATGGCCATTCTACACAAATACGCAAAAAAGAAATGATATGGCTTGCAACAACACTGGGACCTGAAATGTGCAGATTACAGTAGTATCTGTCTTTACCATTAGACTAGCAAGTTATAAAACTGATAATTTAACAAACAACAAACAGGAAAGACTAATTTGGTGTCTGAAATGTTTTTTCCTAAAGTTGTTTAAACTCTGGATAATCTTAGAAGTACAAGAACAGGACCAAGTGTCTTTACAGCAGTCCTATTTCTCACCCATATCACACAACAAGAGAGAGCCCACTTTGGATGTTCTCACTACGCAAACATTCTGTTTGGTTTAGCTGAGGACGCTGCTAGATGGTGCGCAGGAGACGGAGCACATGACACTCACCTGCTCAGTGTGATTTAACCTGCACTGTTCTCACATGGGTGTAGTCTGGCATCACACAGGCTTTCTGCTAGGGAGCTGGGACATTAAAGACAGGTTAATATCAAATTTGCATTCTGACAGTAACCTTAATTGGGTAATATGTAGAAAAGTTCAGGGCAGCGTCCCAATTTTGAAATACTGCTGAAAAGTAACAAGATGAAGTCATTTTGAACAGACCAGAAGGGGGAGGTTTAGAATCCATCCCTGCTCAACTCTGCATTACCATAAGACACAGTCACAGTACACAGTCACAGCACTGGGACAATGCAAATATTGCAAATTAATTCCACCGTGGTAAACTAGCAATTTGCAGACTGTTCTGTTTCAGTGGCTGTCAGTTCAGCCTTGAGATCGTCTTTCTGTCTCCTGATTCAAATCACATTGTTCAATTCAACTCGTTGTTAATCAGTATTTTAAATCCTGTTTTAGAACACTGATAAATGTATGAACAGATTACTTGTCAGGTGTGGTGTTTGGTACTGTTTCAAACGGTTTTTAGTTGAGTAAAACATTCTCTTGTTAAAGCTGTTAAAACCAATTCAATGCAAAAATAGTCTTTCTGAACATTCGATATTAGCTTAGTGGCTAACAGAAAAGAATTTCCTAAGATAAGATAAGATAGAACTTTATTAATCCCTCGGGTGGGTTCCTCTGGGAAATTCGATTTCCAAAAAAAGCACAGCACCGACAGAAGTTGCAGAGTTGCAGAATATTATATATATATATATATATATATATATATATATATATATATATATATATATATATATAATATATATATATATATATATATATATATATATATATATATATATATATATATATATATATATATATATAAAAAAAATATTCTGCAACTTCTGTCGGTGCTGTGCTTTTTTTGGAAATTATTGCTCATTCCACAAAATAATTTGCCATGTCTCAAAGCTCAGATCAGCTCACAGCTCAAAATACTCTTATTCTGAAGGATTTTTCCACTTTCCCTTGACAGTGGCTACTGTATCACTGAATTAAGTGACTTCCTGATGTAGACAATAATACATTGGGCACTCTTTGTGTTATGGACACAGTAACTTGTCAAACTTATGATATCAGTGGCAGGAGGAATAAATGTTTTCTTATTTCTGATTAACCTTGTAATACTTGGCAGTGTGATGTTTATTTTCAGGGTGTGAATTTATTGCAGTCACTGGTGGAAATATCTGCAAATAAAAGATCAGATCTTACATTTACAATATAACAGTGGTAAATACAATCAGCAGTTTATGGTGGATCGACTACCAAAGACTCTACTGCCATCTAGTGGTAACCTCTAATATCACTATATAGCTCGGTTACTTTAAGTGAAAGCAGATAATATTCTAAGTTGAAAAATATATAAAAAGCTAATGCAGTAAAGAAAAAATTGTTACCATCTAAACTTTGGTAAATTCTATAACACCAGCTGTTTATTGTTTGGTAAGTTAATTCTTGTTAAAGTATTGTCTTCTTGTTAATCATTATAATGACAGCTAACTATGAAGTGGAAGGCCACCTAAAATCAGAGTGTGGTCAGTAGATGCTGAGATGCATAGTGCACAGAGGTTTCCAACTTTCTGTAGAGTCTGTGTCTACAGACCTGCATATGTCATGTGGCATTCAGTGGGTTTCCATGGCCGAGCAGCTGTACCCAAACCTTAATCACCAAATGCAATGCAAAGACGTGTTCTCTGGACAACCCCCAAAGGTTGATTGTGTTCATCTGTATGTAGCGTTTTCAGTGGGAGAAGCGTTTCGTCACTGATCCAAGTGACTTCTTCAGTCTCAGCTGAGTGCAGGTTTCACCAATCTTATAAACACTACGATGTACAATACAGTTTGCACAATGACTGAAACCAGCCCACTGAATGAACAATGGGCTGTGAGGTCAGTTCCTTGATCATTAATCTGCAAATTGTCATGACCACTGATCAACAACGATTGATCAAAGCCCATTGATTAAAGACCCTTGATCAATGGCCATGAGTACCATTCACAGAGAGTTGGGGAATGGCTGCAATCACAGCATTGTAAGATGGTGAAAGATGTAAAATTAGGCCTCCTCGATTCAGAGATGGTCTTTCCCTTTTTCCTCCCTGTCCAGGATGTGTACATCCTCATCATTGAAAGAGTGGCCACTGGCCTGTAGGTGTAAATAGACTGCAGAGTCCTGGCTTGACGAGTTAGCTATTCTGTGTTGTGCCATCCGCTTTGCCAGGGGTCGTTTGGTTTCCCCGATGTATAAATCATGGCAATCCTCCTGGCACTTAACAGAGTACACTACATGGATGTGACGAAATGTTCCTACCACTGAAAGTGCTTCGTCCAGATGTACAGGATCAACCTTTCGGTATTTACTTACCTGGATGATTGAGCTGCATCCAGACGTTTTCTGGATAAGTTTGGCATTGACGGTCGCCATGAGAACTATACTTGTCTGACTGCATCATGCTAAGTGTAAAGTTTGGTGTAGGGGGGATTATGGTGTAGGGCTGTTTTGGAACTCTTAATGCTTCAGCATACCAAGACGTTTTACACAATTTCATGCTCCCAACTTTGTGGGAACAGTTTGGGGATATCCATTTCCTGTTCCAACATGACTGTGCACAGTCCATAAAGACATGAATGAGAGAGTTTGTGCAGGCCAGTCCAGTTCTTCCACACCAAAGTCCTGACCTCAACCCGACAGAACACCTTTGGGATTGATTAATCAGAGTAGAGACTGTGAGCCAGGCCTTCTTGTCCAACATCAGTGTCTGACCTCACAGAAGTGTTTATGGAAGAATCGCCATAAATTCCAATAAAGACAACCCTAAACTGTGGAAAGCTTTCCAAGAAGAGTTGAGGCTGTTATAGCTGCAAAAAGTGGGCCGAAAAAATTAACTGAAATAAAACTGAAAGTGATTTAAAAACAAAGAAATCTAATGTAAAATAAAAAACGTTACACTAACTCTGCTGACCAGCTTTTTGGAGCACATTAGTTAACACAAGATTAAAGATGGTAAATGGTCTGTATTTGTATAGCGCTTTACTGGTCCCTAAGAACCCCAAAGCGCTTTACACATCCAGTCATCCACCCATTCACACACACATTCACACACTGGATTAGAGATTAAAGATGAGACTTTCTCATTTTAATCAACTTGAGGAAGATATTATTTTAAGCAACAATTTCACTATGAATGGCAAAAGTGAATATGTTGACACATTCAGCATGCAATATAGTATTTTTCCAATGAAGTTCACAAGGCTGAAGTAACAGGTTTTTACTTTGTTTCTAGAATATTTTCAAATATTTGAAATGCAATTTATTAAAAGGGCAAAAATTTGCTGACTATTGAAGAGAAACATGTCCAGCAGGGAGGAGGGGCAGGAAACACTGATGTCAGCACGGATGAAGTGAAGGGAGGACTGCTTTGCTTTTTCCTGTTTTGTCCCCACTTCTCCTCCCCCTCCTCTTATCGCTGAAGTGGAGATGGAAAGAACGGGGATCAGAGCGCGGACGAAGGATTAACAACTGAGTGAAAATGGGGAAAGATAAAGGCAAACAGACTGACACAGTGTGAACGAGAAAGTGAGGGGAAACGGATACCAAAACGAGTGAAGGCGTTGAATAGATTAAAAAGTATACCACAGAAGAAGCCACAAAGATAGAGGGCTGAATAGCTGTTTCTGGAGTTGGGTGGACCCTTTACGAGAAAGTGTCGACATCAACCACCGCAGCTACCATGTACAGTGGATATGGAGGTATGGACAAGTGTAATGCCCTCACAGAGACTAGCTTATCTCTCTAATCATTAACTGCTTATGTTTGTCAGAATGAATTCCCAGTTGCACGTTAACAGGCCTGTAACTTATTAGGTGATGGCCAGAGAATTTGACCCCAAAATACCAAATTTAAGTTATTTTTATAGTTCATATTTTTCAAGTCTGTCTACTAACAGTGCTTGCTGTTATGTATGTGCAAAACAATGAAACTTGTGATTTCCTTCCTCAGTTACAGAGGACAAATTCCACAGTACTCTTTAAAAAATTTCCACTAAAGTTAAATAGACCTCGTCAGAGTTTATCGATTCAGGTGTGGCTACAAGGGAGTCGAGTACAAACTTTTCTGTGTTGATGTGTCTCTGCCGATGTAGTTTGGAAGAACAATATTGCATTTGTTTAACACAGGCTGATCCTCAGTTGAGCTTCAGATACACTTTTTTTTTTTTAAAGATATTTTTGTACGTGATGAGGGCCCGCTCTCCTGTTTGAATAACTGATGAAGACATCGGCATTGCTTTTAAACATATTTGAAACATACAAGAGCACATCTGACCTTTTTGTTTTTTTACATATTGTCAATTTACAACTTTTTTCATTTTAAAGTTTGTTTTTATTGTTATTGTTCATAATGTCTCCTTTTCTCATCAGTGATGAGACTTGATAGTGTGTAACAATGATAAGACTGTTACTCAAGTTTGAGGTGTGTTTTGTTTCTGTTATCAGTTTTTCATAGTGACTCGCCAAACATAGTTATGTTATGTTCCTGGTATGTTGTGGGTAGTACATATTAAAAATAGTTTAAGGTAGGACAAGAGAACTTAGCCTCTGATGTGGTGGGTTGTTTTTTTTTTTTTTTTTTTTTTTTGTCTAATAGTCCCCTCTACTTGGATGCATCATCTTATATCCTAAGTGTCCTGCTTTTATTAATAAACAGAGTTCTGTCTTAATTTTTATGTGACTTATTTCAGACCTTCTGTTTGAAGCTAGATTCCAGGTAAAAGTGTTGTCATATTAATTTAAGACTGATATTTATTTTCAGACTTTGTTTGGATTGAGGTAAAATGATGGTCTGTGTTTAATCCTTTCACAAAGTGAATCACATGTTGGAAGGCAAACTTCTTTAATCTGCAACAAGTTTCTGCTCAGTTTTGTTGGTCACCATAGTGGCAAGTCACATGACAATTGTGTAGTCTTCTGGTTACGTAAGTTGTTTAATGCTAACGGGGGTTCTGATCTTTGCTAACCTTGGTTTTAACCCATTTTTGCAATACATGAAAAGTAAATTCAGAAGAAATTCCATTTAAGGATTATGTGTGTATTAGCAGCACTGGTTTGGTGAAAATCCTACTTGTAAAGAGGCCTTGACTATGGAAGGTATAGGTAGTGTTTGAATTCTTCTTTATGAGATTTCTATGTTTATCTTCAGGATAAACATCAGTCACTACTTTTAACATTGTTGATATCTGTTTCTGTTTGAGCTATGACCACATCTGTTTTAATGAGATTATGAAAAGGATCAAGGTAAGACTTGTTTCAACCGAGAAGTCTCACTATATGAATGAGAAGCATAAAAAATCTTTTTCTTTTTCACTTTGTCGTTTTTGTTATCAGGCCTTCAGTTCATTGTCTCAAACGGGTTCTTTTTCTTTCCTGGAAACAAGCGAACATGGCTGCACTGTAAATGTGTTGGGTTATTCCTGTGACTCAGTAAATCCAGAAACTGCACTAGTCTTTTCCTGACCCTGCCCTTGCAGGATGTACAACACCCCCACCCCCTCCAGTTTCCTTCTCACACAGACAGTAATGTGAGGAAGGAATAGATTTAGCCATGAAAGAAAAATATATGAAGAGTGCACAGGGTGTGGGAGAAGAAACAATGAAATGGTAATGTTGCAAATAGAAGAAACTAGGTTACAATAGAAAGCATCAAGTCATTGCTGGAAATGGAGAGCAATGCTTTCTTCATCTCATAGTCAAGCAAAACGGATGTGATTATATTTATAAAAACATGTCAGTTTATTTCTTATTTATCTAATCATTAGGAATTTTAAAAGTTGCAGTTCTTTCTTTCAGGTGTTTGTTTTGCTTGATAACTGGTAGAGTCTGGGTGCAGAGACAGAGGAGCAAGCTTGACACAAGTGCCTTTCCTCCTCTCGTGTGTGTGTGTGTGTGTGTGTGTGTGTGTGTGTGTGTGTGTGTGTGTGTGTGTGTGTGTGGTGTGTGTGTGTGTGTGGTGTGTGTGTGTGTGTGTGTGTGTGTGTGTGGTGTGTGTGTGTGTGTGTGTGTGTGTGTGTGTGTGTGTGTGTGTGTGTGTGTGAGTGAGAGATCTGCCAGTCTGTCTAGATTTGACATTCCTTTCATGCTGGAGATGCATGAAAGGAATGACATGACCAAGGGACCACTTTCAATAAACACAGCAATTTTTATATGTAGTGAGTCAAGAAATCTTATTCAGCAGGAAGTAAAAGATGATCAGTCAGTGGAAATTTTAAACACAGCATTGCTTAAGTATCCTAAATACTGTGAAAATAACATCTATCAAGCTTATTAGGCAGGTGATCCTGATATTATTGTTTTGGTCCCCTTTTGCTGCAGTATGAGCGACGCTAGCTCGTCCATTGAATCGGACCATTCTTTGCTGCTGATGTGCGTCAGTAAGCCTTGATCACCCATGACCCAGTTGCTGGTTCACCACCATTCCTTCCTTAGATCACGTTTAATAGATGGGCAACTTATTAAAACACATGTAATCACTACATGTGTTTCGTGGACTAGAAGCACCTCAACGTGCGAAGCCACAGTTGTCACTCAGAAAAAGGTGGATTTCCTATTCCAGTTTGGGAACTGGTGCCCCAGGTGGAGGAATCCAAGTATTGGGGGTTTTGTTTAAGAGTAAGGGGAGAGAGGAGCTGGTCACTGACATTGACAGTGATGCGAATGTTGTACCAGTCTGATATATCATGCTTGAAATAAAGATCACTACACTGGGACTGTATGATTATGGCCAAAATAATTATGATTATTTTGAACAGGATTGAAATCATGATTACTTTTTATGATTACTCATTTTTATTTTTAAGTGTCAAAAATGGTTTTGTTGGCTGATCCTCTATGGCAGACAAGTTGTTCACCTTCGGCTGTACCAGACATCTGAATTGTTTTCTGTATCTGTCCTTTAACATGGTGTTACACGTCCAGACTAGTCCCGTAAACCTAAAGCTGCATGGTACGGGGAAGAGCAGTGATTGGCACATACAATCATGTGGTCAGACACTGACTTGGTGAACATTTGATTTGCATTTGGTTTTACTTTGCGTTCTAATGGCAGAGCATGCATTTTCAATATAATCTCAAATTATGACTCACCATTATGTAGCAGGATTGGGGACTGGTCCAGATATTACTCACTCTGTGTACATGCTTTCACTATCAGAATTTTTTTTGTTTTTATCTCTACATAATAAAAAGCTCAGGTTTAGATAAGTCCCAGTTTTGGTTTAGCTTGGAATCTCCAAGCAGTGAATAATAGTGCCCACTTAGGTGTAGGTGTGTGTGGGGGTGTGTGTGTGGGGGGGGGGCATTTTTCTAGAATGGTCTGGGAGGGAGAGGTCAGACGGCATCAGACAATAGGTGTGGTGTGACAGCCTTCCATTCGCCTCTGTGGTAATCGAGTTTGAGGCACAGGGCCATAGCGCTAGTGTAGATTTGAAACCATGAATGTCAGAGGAGATGGTGTGACTGGAATCTTTTGTTATCATTGGCCAGGACTGCACCACTGTTTGGATCATGTAGGGAACAAACACAGTGTGAAAGACACCCTGTTTGTTAGCTGGATCTGGCCAATGTCTGAATGAGTTAGTAGTTCAACTAAAGCTGATGATTTACTGCAGTGATTTGCTTGTCTCAGTATCATAATAAAGCTAGAGATTACTTATTGGACAAGATAGGATGTGACAGCGAGAAATGTGCAGATTACCATTGACTTGTTTGAACCTGAAATCTGACTTGGAACACCATCAAGGTTGGTTTTTCTATTTGAATTTATTGGTGTACCATTTGTTTATATAGTAATAGCTCATATGCATATAAATGCACAGAGTCTGTGGTTCTCAGGACTTTGAGTTTTCATTCCAGACATTTTTAGATTTAAAATATAAAGTCATTCCCAAATGTCAACAATGTAAATATGATGAGATGATGTGGAAAGAGCACACTGTTTCTTTAGATTCATGTCTTGACGCTGATTCAATCTGCATAGCTTTTTAAATCAAGTAAAAATGATCTAGTGCTTGAATAAGGATTCAGTCCCTTTTAGTGCATATACTATGTACATGTGGGTAACATTCACTCAACTAGGCTGTTGTTAACCTGTGGTTGTTTCACTTATTTTGGTTCTCAGTCTGATGCGCATGCAAATTAGAACAATGTGTGTGAGAGTGCTGCACAAACAAAATGAAACCTCTTTAACCTGTCCCAGCTGTCATAAGGCTGAATGCAGGGTGCAACCTAGACTGAGGCCAGTCCATCACAGGGTTGCTAACCAGTGCACTACTGTGCCACCTCAGTGTAGTGGGGTCCCAAGATATGCTGGAAAAACATAGAGGGGTTATTAAACCATTAACCAGGTCCAGTTATCCTGCTTTTACTGCTCAGCTGACTTTTAGTTAGCATTACATGATGTACTCACATACTGAAAGTGTATGTGCCTTTGCGCGTGCATGCGTGTGTGTGTAAACAGCATGAAAGGCCCAGCACTTTTCCAGAAAGGGACATGGACAGCAGAACCTCATTACATTTTAAAGGAGATTCCCATTGGATAAATACACATGTAATCTAACAATGTTTCACTGACTCCTTACAGAGCACTGTAACCATACAGAGCATTCAGATACAGTGGGGCAAAAAAGTATTTAGTCAGCCACCGATTGTGCAAGTTCCCCCACCTAAAATGATGACAGAGGTCAGTAATTTGCACCAGAGGTACACTTCAACTGTGAGAGACAGAATGTGAAAAAAAAATCCATGAATCCACATGGTAGGATTTGTAAAGAATTTATTCGTAAATCAGGGTGGAAAATAAGTATTTGGTCAATAACAAAAATACAACTCAATACTTTGTAACATAACCTTTGTTGGCAATAACAGAGGTCAAACGTTTACTATAGGTCTTTACCAGGTTTGCACACACAGTAGCTGGTATTTTGGCCCATTCCTCCATGCAGATCTTCTCGAGAGCAGTGATGTTTTGGGGCTGTCGCCGAGCAACACGGACTTTCAACTCCCGCCACAGATTTTCTATGGGGTTGAGGTCTGGAGACTGGCTAGGCCACTCCAGGACTTTCAAATGCTTCTTACGGAGCCACTCCTTTGTTGCCCGGGCGGTGTGTTTTGGATCATTGTCATGTTGGAAGACCCAGCCTCGTTTCATCTTCAAAGTTCTCACTGATGGAAGGAGGTTTTGGCTCAAAATCTCACGATACATGGCCCCATTCATTCTGTCCTTAACACGGATCAGTCGTCCTGTCCCCTTGGCAGAAAAACAGCCCCATAGCATGATGTTTCCACCCCCATGCTTCACAGTAGGTATGGTGTTCTTGGGATGCAACTCAGTATTCTTCTTCCTCCAAACACGACGAGTTGAGTTTATACCAAAACGTTCTACTTTGGGAGAATGTCATGTGGTCAGATGAAACCAATCCTCTGCTGTATCATCCATGTGCTCTCTGGCAAACTTCAGACGGGCCTGGACATGCACTGGCTTCAGCAGCGGAACACGTCTGGCACTGCGGGATTTGATTCCCTGCCGTTGTAGTGTGTTACTGATGGTGACCTTTGTTACTTTGGTCCCAGCTCTCTGCAGGTCATTCACCAGGTCCCCCCGTGTGGTTCTGGGATCTTTGCTCACCGTTCCCATGATCATTTTGACCCCACGGGATGAGATCTTGCGTGGAGCCCCAGATCGAGGGAGATTATCAGTGGTCTTGTATGTCTTCCATTTTCTGATGATTGCTCCCACAGTTGATTTTTTCACACCAAGCTGCTTGCCTATTGTAGATTCACTCTTCCCAGTCTGGTGCAGGTCTACAATACTTTTCCTGGTGTCCTTCGAAAGCTCTTTGGTCTTGGCCATGGCGGAGTTTGGAGTCTGACTGTTTGAGGCTGTGGACAGGTGTCTTTTATACAGATGATGAGTTCAAACAGGTGTCATTCATACAGGTAACGAGTGGGGGACAGAAAAGCGTCTTACAGAAGACGTTACAGGTCTGTGAGAGCCAGAGATTTTCCTTGTTTGAGGTGACCAAATACTTATTTTCCACCCTGATTTACGAATAAATTCTTTACAAATCCTACCATGTGGATTCATGGATTTTTTTTTTCACATTCTGTCTCTCACAGTTGAAGTGTACCTCTGGTGCAAATTACTGACCTCTGTCATCATTTTAAGTGGGGGAACTTGCACAATCGGTGGCTGACTAAATACTTTTTTGCCCCACTGTATTTACTGTGTAATGTAGACTTTTCACTGCTGTCAAAGCGTAATGTTATTACTTATCAGACAAAAAGAAGCAAATGTCTGAATGTGATGGAAATGGTATCACTGAGCTTTTCCACTTGGTCTGTTGGTGTGCTGTGAACTTCTGACAGGCTCAGTTTGTCTATGCCTTTATCTCTCACTCCCCCTCAGCACTCATGTTTTTGTCAGTACTTAAAACTAGGTTAAGTCAACATAATCTCTCTCTCTCTCTCCCCTCTATGTGAGTGTATAAAAATCGTCTTGACAATGTTCTTTTTAACCAGAAAAAATATGTTCATGTTTACAGGAAATGATAATATGAAAATTGGAGACCATTAGATCATTAAGGTATTCTTTTCAGTCTCAGTGATGTGGTTAAAATTGACCTTTTCTCCCCAGCCACAAGATTGTGCCCTTTGGACATGTCTTCCTTTGTTAAATTTCCTGTCAAGAGAAGGAGTTCCATCTGACTTCCTGTTGGATTGTGACATTTCCTGTGATGTGGAAGGAGGGGGGTTGGTACTTGCCTTGCGAAGGCCTTTCAGCTGTTTAAAGAAACAGGATGCAGGACACTGCATAGGCCACACTAGGAAAAACTCTGCTGAAAAATTTATCAGCTGACTGTAGCCTCAGTAACACAGCACAGACTTCAAATATCAGTTCAAATGTTGTAGCAATAAAATGGATTCACCGAAAGATAAGAAGGAAGTTGGATAGAAACCTTTACAAGATTTAAAATTTATTTGTTCCCACAGCACAAAATACACAAAGATACAAAAAACTTTAATTGCATTTCTGTTAACTTTTACCCACACTGAAAAATTGTCATTTCATGGCATTCCAATGGTAAAGTCAGAAAAGCCTAAACAATTGGGTTTGTTTTGCCTTTTAGGAAGGCAGAACCATTCATGCTTCACTACCAACACAAGCAAGCAATTTATTTATATAGGACTTTCAGACAACTCCCAGCTGAAAACAAAGTGCTGTACACTTGACAAACGAAAAATCATTAATTACATTAAATTAAAAATAAAAATCAGCACATTAGATAAAATGAAAGAAGTAAAATCATAACTGCAACACAATACTTTGTGTTTGTAGTTTGTATTTAAAAACACTGCTGCAGCCTGGTCAGTGTTCTGTTTGTGACTTATTTAGTAGGGTGCAAATACACAACAGTGGCAGCAAAGTTTATGTTTTACACTTTTCCTACAGTTTAGATTCAGTTTAGATGCCTGCAGTTTACATTCCTACATCTTGCTTGTTAACCTTGGGTTGGTGGGGCTGCTCTGACTTCCTGGGTTGGGAATCCTAGTTGTGGTAGTGTCACAGATGAAGATTCCAACTTGATCTAGACCTTATGTTGTGGGCCTATTGCTGGGCTGAGTCGAGACCTTTGAATCTTGTTGCTCATCTGGGTTGATTGATGCAAGTTTATATTAAACATGTTTTCAGTCAGCACATCTTAGATGGCCGCTGCAGAAAGCAAAGAGCACACATTTGGACAAAATGTTTTCCTGTTCTTGATTTGATCAACAATTGCAACAATTTTGGTGGTTTGAACTAGGGCTGCCACAAACGATTATTTTGATAGTCGACTAGTCACCGATTATTTTTGCGATTAGTCGACTAATCAGATCATCATCCATTGGACGTACAGCGTACTGCTTATTGCACCGGCAGCATTTGGTCTTATATAACTATCATTAGCTTACAGCTTGGAGTGTTTGTGCTAACTAAAAATAAAGACAAGATGGTAGTTTATTAATTTTTAATGAAATTTGCAGATTGTTTCGGTGAAGTTTAATAAACTCCTTGCTTTCTAAAATATAACAGGACACCGGAGTATATTCTCCAGAGTCTCACACTTCTGATAATCAGCTGTCTGCTTGACAGTTTTAGCTGTGCAAAAAACTATAACTTTAATCTCAGATTTACTCAGGAACAAATAAAATACTAAAGAAAGCCAAACAATAACATTTTTAAGTTATCTAAGTGACTTATATATATGTTTAACCTGAGTAGCGAAAGACGGCGGTGGGTTTGAAAACGATTTGCCGGGAGTCCGGTGTTCTCACGGCTCTAGTTAGCCTTGCCCCCGCCTAGCTAACGAGCTAGTGGGTAACAGACGTCTCCGAAAACGTCGGAGCGCTTTTGAAAATATGTGGTGTCTTGATAAACTGAGCAGATATTTGAGGTTTACACAGCTACATTCTCGCCTGAAAATATGTTAAACGTTTATTTTGTGACCCAGAAAGAATAATAAGAGTAAAGTTAAAACTAACTAGCTGCCGCCATTGTTGACAGCTGCGCTGGGCTGCGCTATGAATTCTGGGACACAGCTTCTTCTTCGGGGTTTAACGGCAGCTGGCATCCTTGTACATGCAGTGCTGCCATCTTCTGTTTCAGTCCGTTATTACACTCTTAAATCCTACTACTCATTCCTGCGTCCTTTGTGATCTTACAAAGCTTCAAACGATGCGTCGACTATTAAATCAGTCGTCGACGATTTTAATAGTCGACATAATCGTGACTAGTCGACTAATCGTGGCAGCCCTAGTTTGAACTCACTGTTTGCTTTGGTTTTCATTTTTAAAAGTAGCAGTTTAGTTGTGCTGTGTTGTCAGCAGTGTGCTTTTCTTCCTCTGCTCTAAACAGGGACTCCGTCCCGAACTCTGTCGACGATGTCTCTGTCCATTCGCCCAGTCAGACGCCTTACCTCCAGATCCATCACTAGGAGCCAGAGCTTTACTGGAGTCAATACCCACAACAAACCTTACCGGTATACACATGCATACATACACACGCAAATCCCTCCTAACCATGTGTTTTTTTTTTTCTAGTGTAAAACGGCTTGTTTACGTACTATCTTGTACTTATGTGTAATAACTTGTCATAAGGACAAGTGTCTCTTTAATGTGATATATTGATGGTCTGTGACATGCTAAGGTTTCAGTCATCAATTTGATTGATCATCAGTGTTTGTATATGAGCCGTGAGCTGTACAACGCCCAGGTCTGGTCTTGAGGGATGTTATGGCGATCTCATAACTTTAGGTCAGGACTTCTAATAATGACTTGGTGTTTGTGGTGCTGCAGGAACCTTGTGGTGTTCAGCACTCCTGGTCTCAGCAGGAAGCCCAGCAGAGCAAGCAGATTGTTTACTATGTCGATCAAGGCCAACCCCCCACCGAAGGTTCCTCAACCAGAGCGACTGGATGAAGTGTATGAAGCACTGAAGAAAGGCCTTCAGTGAGTATACACTCAACAAATGCATTTCAGAGAGAGAGAGAGAGAGATTATGAGTGTGTGTGTCTGTGTTCTCAGGTCTTACCTGCAGGTTCATCAGATGGACTTGGACACACTTACCAGACAGATAAAAGAATCAAAGAGGAACTCTAGACTGGTATGTTGTTACTTTTGGCCCAGCATAAGAATAGATAAAGTGATATAGTTTCAGTTGCTGATGACTTGATATTTTCTGCCTTGCAGGGTTTCCTGTATGAGCTGGACAAGGTGAGCTTCTTTGAATCCTTCAGACAAGCACATATTAGAAATAAGTCAATTTTAATATTACCATTCTTGTTTTAAAATCCTGTGAAAGCTTAGTTATAAATGGAACAAATGCAAAGAATAAATGTGACTTTCTAATTTCCTTTAATCAGCAAGTAAAGGTGACTGAGAGGTACATTAGAAAACTGGAGTTTCACCTCAGCAAGGTAAGACCAGCGTCATTTCCTGACATGTAAGAGTATAGTTGTGAGATGACTTTTTGTATGACTTGCTAATTACATTGCTCTTTGTGCACAGGATGAACAGATGCTGAAAAACAGTTTGATAGAACATATTTTCTACAGCTGTCGTGGCTGTGTTTCCGTTATGATCCTGCATTTGTCATTTTTAAATTCGCATTGTTCATTAGTGTATAATTGATATTGTAACAAACTAGTGATCAGTATACATACATCAATATATTATTACTTTGTTATTATAGAGTACTTTTTTTTTTTTTTTTGGAATTTGACATGAAAAATGAATTGAAACAATTTTGAACTAAGGCTGTACGTGCCAAAATGTAGAACAAGTAGAGCACTGTGACTGCTTTTGGGATACAGTCTTTTGCTTGTATACGTGTCATTGTGCACAAGCAAAAGACTGTGGTGGTGGTAACGCACTTTCTAGTGGCCACTGTCTGGATTACTAGTTGGATGATGAGGTTTGGTTTTTAATGATGCTTCACCTTCACCGGTGCTTCATTCAAAATAATATAAAGTGGACTAAAATGACCAGCTGCAATGTTAGTACATTTTTACCAACTCAACGTGAAACATTTATTTATTTTGCTGTAGTTACTACACAGAGCTTGTATTAAGCTGTGGTCTTTAAGCACACAGCTTCCTGTCACTGCTGGACAACCTTACTGTCTAGAACAAGACTGGCTTTGTCTTAAATTCTACTCTCAAGTGAAGTTGCTGTGAGCTTTTCCTCTCTACTCTCAGATTGAGGAGTTTTATGAGTCCTACTGCATGCAGAGGAGACTCAGGGATGGAGCCAACAAGATGGTGAAAGCATACACCGCTTCCTCAGGAAGTAAGGAGGCCAAGGAGAGTTTAGCAGAAGCCAGTAAAGGATACAAGGAGTACACAGAGGTAAAAAAAAAAAAAGTACAAAGGCATGCAGTGGAAAATCGTTTTAGGTTAAACTGAGAAAATTGCTAAATGTCTAATTCTTGTAGAAGAAAGGAGCCATTGCACGAGCAAGTAGTAATAGGGAGTAGCGCTGTAAGTAAGACTGTACAGAAAAGACTGCCTGAAGGTCTCAATCTTTTCATTCTCTTTAGAACATGTGTGTGTTGGAGAATGACTTTGAGAACCAGCTGGGGAAGTTCCACATAAAGATGAAGGGTAAGAAGTAGAGATCATGTGGTGATATGACTACACAAAATCTTAAATAGAGGTAGAAACTCAATATGACATACGTTATGTGTGTGTCCCTTCTGATATGACCCTTAATTAATTGCAATGTTTTGGGGTGGTTTCGCAGTTTGACAAAATGCTAAGTCTGTTTCCACTTGTTCTTTCTTTTAGGTCTGGCAGGATTTGCTAGATTGTGTGCTGGTGACCAATATGAGGTTTGTCTCACCCGCCAAACCCTCCATTTTTCACTCTGAATTCATGGCAACAATAAATATGATTAAAACACTAAGAATATGGATGTCATGTTACCAGATATTTAGGCTGTGGTATTAGCTTGTGACGACACCAGAATCAATGACTGTATCTTTCAGTACCAAAATTCTGATAGTATGTTGTCACCTGAAAAATCAGCATTAAGATATAAGAAGGTGATAATTTGGATGTTGAATTGAAACGCACTCCCTTTGAATTCTTTGAACAGATCTGGATGTTGCTCTTTTATGCATTTTGCTAAATAGGACACGATTTCCTCCCTTGTTCTGAAAAGCGCAAGGCATCGTTTGTATTACATTTTATGAATCTATTATCTACCATTGGTCATCCAGAAGAGAGTTGAAGAGATTTTGGCAAACTGTCAGGTGACTCAGGTGGGGAAAGCAGTGCGCCACTTGGGTGGCGCACTGCTGACCACAAGGATATTGTCGGGAGGTGGAAGGAATAGTTCGAGGACCTTCTTAAACCTGCTCATGTCTTCCATAGAGGAAGCAGAGTCTGGGGACGACAAGGATGATTCATCCATCACTTTGGGTGAGGTCACTGATTTAGTTAAACAACTCCTTGGTGGAAGGGCCCCTGGGGGTGGATTAGGTTTGCACTAAGTTCATGAAAGCTCTGGATGTTGTAGGGCTCTCTTGGTTGACATGCTTCTCCAATGTTGCATCGAGATCAAGGCCAGTACCTCTGGATTGGCAGACCAGGGTGGTGGTTCCCATCTTTAAGAAGGGGGACCGGAGGATGTGCTTAAACTATTGGGGATCACACATAGCCAGATATATGTTGGACTCATTCACGGTGAGCGTTGGACTCTGCCAGGGCTGCCCTTTGTCACCAATTCTGTGCAGAATTTTTCTGGACAGAATTTCTAGGCATAGCCAAGTGCCGGAAGGCTTCTACTGGAGCGATCTCAGGCTACGTTCACACTGCAGGTCTTAATGCTCAATTCTGATTTTTTTTTTTTCATTTATTTATTTATTTATTTTTTATCAAATCCGATTATTATTATTTATTTATTTTTAAATTTATTATTATTTTTTACTTATTTTTTCGGTCTGGTTGTTCACACTACAAATAAAATGTGACAGCAAACATGCTCTAGTGTGACTCCTCAAAGTGGCCCACATGTGCAAAAGAAGACATCACACACAACGCACTCTGTTTAGACCCAGACCCAACAGTACTGTTTGACTGATGGCCGTTAATATAAAGACTTGTTTCGAACTTTACGTTTCCCAATTTTGTTATAAAGTTATTTTGTTATTTACATATGACCTAATGATTATCCTTATTGCTGTTTTAGAGAGGAGCGGCGCTTCAAAGGATAGCTGCAGATTTCTGTCAGAATCTGCAGATTATACAGTACAAATAAAATGTTCACATTCCTCCAGCATTGTCTTCCCAACAGTTTCACTGGATGGCCAGGAAGCGTTCACAATGTCTTCTCGGGCGCTTCTCCGGCACTGATAATTGGCGTCTCTCTTGTGTCAGTGATGTAAAAGTCGGATTTAATGCGACATGACCGTTCAAACAGCAGTCGCTTTCTGAAACATCAGATATGTATCCGATTCAGTACCACATACGTCAGTGACCTAGTTCAGATTGAAAATATCACATTTGTGCTGTTCAAACTGTCATACTATGATTGGATATGGGTCGCATAGGGTCAGAAAAGTTGGATTTGGTGCGCTTTCGCCTGCAATGTGAACGTAGCCTTAGAATCTCATCTCTGCTTTTCGCAGATGATGTGGCTCTGTTGGCTTCATCATCACACTGGAGCGATTCACAGCCGAGTGTGAAGCAGTGGAAATGAGAACCAGCACCTCCAAATCTGAGCCCATGGTCCTCAGCCGGAAAAGGGTGAAGTGCCCACTCCTGGTCAGGGACGAGTTACTGCTTCACTTAGGGAAGTATCTCGGGTTTTGTTCAGAGTGAGGGCAGGGTTGAGATCAACAGGCGGATTGGTTCTGTGGATGCAGTCATGCGATCGCTGTACCAGTCTGTTGTGGTGAAGAGAGAGCTGAGTGCAAAAGTGATGCCCTCACCGGTCGATCTACGTTTTTACCCTCCTCATCCATCGTGACGAACTTTGGGCAGCGACTGAAAGAACAGGATCGGCTTCTTCAGGCGGCAGAAATTGGCTTTCTCCGAAGGGTGGCTGGCCTCTGCTTTAGAGATGGGAGTTCGGCCATCCAGGAGGGGCTCAGAGTAGAGCTGCTACTCCTCCACATCAAAAGGAGCCAGTTAAGGTGGTTCGGCCATCTGACAAGGAGGCCTCCTGGGTGAGGTGTTCCAGGCATGTCCCACTGGGAAGAGGCCCCGGGGAAGACCCAGGTGACCCTGGAGAGATTTCTTTCAGCTGAAGGAGGTGGCCGTGGTTTCTCTGCTTAGGCTGCTGCCCCCTGACAGGCCCCGGATAAGCAGAAGAAAATGGACAACTGGTCATCCACCTCAGAGTATCAACTTTCCTATCAAGGGGCAATGCTGTTGTAGCAGCTACACTAGTCGCTATCTTCCACCTGTGGTTTTTCTTCTGCTTGTGCCGTCCTTCTCCTTCATCATGATGTAATGATTAGAGCCCAACCAGCATACAGTGCTTTGAAAAAGTATTTGCCCCCCCCCCTTTTTTTTTTTCTCTCATATTTGTGACTCTTCACACTAATTGTTTCAAATTATAAATGGAAAGGTTCTTCCAAAGCACTTTTCTGAGCTCTCAGAGCTTTCCATACAACATGCCTCATTTATCCATTCACATCCATCCATAGAAACACAATTGAAAAATAAAATGTAATGTTAGACAAAGGTAATCTGAAATAATACAAAATGGAGTTTTTAAATGCTCATTTCATTTAATAAAGGAAATAATCAAAGTCTACCTGCCCTGTGTGAAAAAGTTAAAGCCCCCTCATTAAATCATGAATTAACTGTGATTAACCACATTATTTGCGAAGCGGAGTTCAATTTCACTAGCCCCACACCCAGGCCTTACTGCTGCCAGACCCGATAAATCAAGAAATCACTTAAATATAACCTGTTTGACAAAGTGAAGCAGGTCTGAAGATCTCAAAAAGCAACAACTCATGCCATATTCTAAAGAAACACCAGAGAAACAAAATCACTGACATCTATAAGTCTGGAAATGGTTGCAAAGCCATTTCCAAAGGCTTTAGTAACCATAGTGAGACCAATTAACCACACATGGAAAACTTGGAACACTAGTGAACCGTTCCAGGAGCATCCGAGACCACATTAATGACTCATCCGGGAGGTCACAAAAGAACCAAGGGAAACATCTGAAAAACTGCAGGTCTCACTTGTCTCTGTTAAGGTCAGAGTTCATGATTCAACAGTAAGAAAGAAACTGGGAGAAAATGGGAGAAATCAAGGAGAAAACTACTGCTAACCAAAAAGAACACAAAGGCTCCTTTGCTCATTTGCCAAAACACAACTTAATGATTGACTTGTGGGAAAATATTCTGTGGACTGATGAGACAAAATGGTTTGACTCTGTTACATTTGACATAAAACTAACACATCTTTTCATGAAAATAACACCATACCAACAGTTAAACATGCTGGTGGGTCTGGGGCTGCTTTGCTGCTTCAGGACCTGAATTACTTGCTGTAATTGATGAACTATAAATTCTGCTCTCTAATAACAAATCCTGAAGGAGAATGTCTGGCTTATCAGTTCATGCGCTGAACCAAATGGCCTTAAAGTCTGGACCGATTGAGATGCTTTAACATGACCCTTAAACAGGTCATTCATGCTCAGAAGCCCTCCAATGTGGCTGAGTCAAGACTGTTCTGCAAAGAAGAGTGGGTCAAAGTTCCTCCATGGTGATGCGAAAGACTCATTGCCAGTTACTAACACTTGTCTGTAGCACATGTTCTATGTAGTCATTTTTTTCTCGTTACTAAGCTTTTTAGTCCTTTTTAAAATAAAATCGCTACTTATTGTTGCCACCCTGCTGGGCAGGCGATGTCCTCTGGTGCATCAGCATGATAGACTGCATAGAGTGCACAAATGACAGAATGAAAACTGCTGTATGAATGAGTCATTGTGCCTTGTATTGTAAAGGTGTGTTAAGTATTCACTAAGCAATATTAGTATTTATACAGCAAATTGCTATATAAATAGTAAACCATTTAGATTTATTGCGGTTTTGAGAAGGGTTTGTCCAGTGCCTGTGTGAAAACACTGCTTCAGCTGTTCCCTGTGGAGTTATCTCTAAGTGTACACGGCAGCAGGTCCTGTGTGATTGTGTGTATGATCAGTTATGAAATTAGAGGGATACTTACTTAGTAACTTAACCTAGTGAGAAAAAATTCTCACCAGTGGTGAATGTTTGAAGGCATTTTGTTTTCTGTACTGCCCACAAGTCTGTCTGTCCCATTCTCGTAATCATGATATCCGAGGAACACACTGAGGGAATTTATTCAAATTTAGTTCGAATCAAGTGATTAGAATATTTTAGTGAAGCCTTACAGTGACCTTAAAAATGAGGATTTTTTTTTTTCCTTGTCCACAATTCGTTGCACTTAATGTCAAAATTTGTACAAATGATGAAAAATAAAATTTTACGTTCAAAAGGTTAAGAGTCCAAATACACTGCAAGTTGTCTGGTTGGTGAAGGCATACAGTTGTGACGTGACAATTCTAACTTTAGTGTTCATCGTATTTTGTTAACATTAAATTTCTTTAACTGTGTCGTGGGTTTTGTTTTTTTGTTTTTTTTTTTTGTTTTTTTTTGTTTTGTTTTTGTAAAAGTGGCCTCATCACTTGCACATTCATGCTCTAGCCATTGACATTTATAGCTATGTAGTTAAGATGTGAGTTGTCAATTCTTTTCAACCCTGTCAGATTAATCTGAGCTTTATGAAAATCATCACATGATTATATGAACTGCTCAAACTATCAATAATTTTGAAGTAGTCAACCGGATTTTCCAGATTTTAAAATTAATTTATTATTCATCTACTTGTATAACCCTGCGTTTGTGTTTGTTTGTTTTTGCATATGTGTATGTTTCAGATCTTTATGAAGTATGGTCGGCAGCGGTGGAAGCTCCGGGGGCGAATAGAGATAAATGCTAAACAAGTGTGGGACAGTGAAGAGATTGTATTTCAGCCACTCATCAACGAGTTCCTGTCTGTGAAGGTCTGTCACTCAGTGTGTTTTTTAAATTTGTTATTTTATTGATACTCAGTTCTGGTTTGGGTCATTGACTGCTTCATCTTATGTAAAAAGTCATAAAAATAATGCATCTAAAAAAAAAATCTGCTGTGTGTGTGTGTGTGTGTGTGTGTGTGTGTGTGTGTAACATTTTCTTCAAAACTGAAAAAATCACTTATTACATAAAGTTTACTTTCTTGTATTTGTTACATGTAAAGCAAAATATTTTTGGCTTTTTTTTGTTTACATTTTGACCAATCATAGTGTAGTTAATGAATATCAAAAATGCAACATCTAAAATTTTTTGATTATTTCCTAAGACCAATCAGAAAGTACTGAAAAGATGTTAATTCATACAATCAATACTTCATTGGGTCAGCATTACTGCATCTGTGCTCTGTGGCATGGGGGCAGTTGACTTTCCCAGAGACATTGAGTGGAGGCTCTTGATGCTCTGACACCAGCCTCAGTTGGCTCTTTATAAAGCTGTCCCAAATGTTTCAAATGTTTCCTTTTCCTTCTAGTCATTAATTAATATACATCATCCATTAATATACATCGTTGCAGCGGCCTTTTTAACCAACAGAAAGTCTTTTTATTTTATCATCATTTGATCATTTCAAAATGAAATGTACTAATTTCAGAAACTGGATCTTTAATTTTCATGAGCTTTAAGTCATAGTTATCAAAATGTAAACACAAAAAGCTTGAAATATTTCAATATACAATGTATGAAAGTTTACCTTTTTGAATTCAGTTATCAAAGAATAATACTTTAATATCCTCTGGAACTTCATATTGTCCATTATTATTGGTGAATGTGTGAGTTTTTTACCCCTCAGCCATAAAAGACACTGTGTGATCCTATTGTGTTATTAATAATAATATCTTTTCCCAATGACATCAGCACCTTGACAAACTTGAGTGTACTATTTTCAGCCTGGATGATTGAAACTGACTTGTTGAAGGCAAAAAAAAAGATGGTATAATGATCAGACATTTCTCTGGTTTCCTAGGTGACAGAGCTAAAGAGCTTAGCCAATCACGTGGTGGTGGGAAGTGTTTCCTGTGAAACAAAGGATCTGTTTGCTGCGCTGCCCCAGATGGTTGCTGTGGATATTAATGACCTTGGGACTATTAAGCTAAGCCTTGAGGTGACCTGGAAGTAAGTTTTGTCAGTCATCTTGTGAGTGTACGAAATCATACTGAGCTTCATGAGTGCTGTAGTGTTTGTTCATTTAAAGGTATCATTAACAGAGCATAATGTAAATATTATTTGATGTTTATTGAATTTATCTTTTCTCTCTTTCCCATCCTTTATTCCTTTTCACCTCTCTCAGTCCGTTTGATAAAGATGACCAGGGATCGGTTGCAAGCACTGTCAACAAACCACCAAGCATCAATAAGCGAATCTCAGCCATTTTTGACCAGACTCCACCTGACACACCACCTTTACGTGTGAGTTTAGCATTCGCTTTAGACTATTAGTTCTTTGAAAGGCTTCAGTCTAACCCTAGAACAATTTGTGTAAAGTTGCTGATTGCTCGTACTTACTACCCATATATTAATGTGTATTATCTTGGCATTCATATACAGATAGTTGGAAAACTAACAAAGACTGTTGGTTTTAGCAGGAGGAATAGGCCCACTCACAACAGAAAATAGCTGAAAGGGAAACTTTACTCTCTGTAAAGTGCTAGAAAACAAAACACAGGAAGTCAAACAAGGCAGAAATTCATTCAGAGAAAACCAACAAGGAAGAGCCAATAGGAAAATTATTTTTAAACAGGAAGTAAATGAAGGCTTGACACTTTGTTTGAAAAAACAAACTCACAGGGAAAAATGGGAAATATTCAGTCTGTAAACACAGATGTGTGTGTGATGAGCTATGTGAACACAACACTGACAGAAAAATGGAGGAAAAGAGAACTAAATGTGGAAGCAGCACTAACAGGAGAAAGACGGATTGATGAAATGGAAAATGACAAAAACTATAAACATAACATCTAAATTCTAAAGGATAATACCTTTAGGAATAAGGAAAAAACAACCAGACACATGCTAAGCAAGAACACTTATCGGTGTGCTCAGGCCTCTACATTGAGGAAACCAAATTGCCACTCCTTTCGAAGCATGGCACAGCATAGAAGAGCCACCTCAATAAGACTCAGGTGTGCATCTTTATCAGTGTCCACTATGAACAACCATGAGGGGCTGGCGTCCAACACCAACTGTCAGTCACCTACAACATAGTTTTGAGATCCCTTCCCAGTCCTTCAAACCCCACTCATGTCTTACGTCTGATGACCTTAATAGGTCACATGATAGCATGGGACAAGGTCTCACAGTGGTTTCACCCAAAACCTCTGGTGGTCATGATCCACGCCTTTTTTCTTTTCTTTTTTTATTTCCCCCCCCACACCTTGGCTCATGTGATGATGCACGTGATTAAACACCCACTAGGTTTTAAATTCCTGAGATTCTCCACCTCCACCAATCAGATAAAAACAGCCTTTTCCAGAGGGGGAGGAGAGAGAGGAGTCAAACACAGCTTTAAAAAAAAAAAACAAAGCACAATGTTTTTTAAAAAAAATAAATAAATAACCGATTAAATCTATTCTATAGATTTAATCCACCAACTAAAATTAGGAATCTGTAAATGAGAACATTGAGAGTTTTAAAGGACATTAGAGTTTAGCCAGCAGCCCTCAGTATCTAACTGCTCCAATGCCCTTTGTTCCACCTGCGGCCACTTTGATGTCCAGTCTCTGCCTCGGAATCTGACACGGCGGCAGCACTGGCCACTGCTGGACATCTTCAGAGGCACTCTTAGCCAGAGCTGCTCCTGTAGTGACAACTCACCAACAAGGCAGTCCACTGCAGTAAGTCGTGATGAAGTAGACCTCGTGGAGTAGAAACACAGGACCTTCTGGTATATTGATACTTTGGTGTAGAGTAAGCACTAGAATCATAGTCTCCATTTGTGTGCTTATGGCTTCATGGAGCCATGACAGATGTGTGCAAGGTTTCCTCATGCATCTCCATGGCTCTCTAATTATAATATTTAGACCCCCCACCCTCCAACAGAGCTGACTACTGTTAGCCATCATCAGTGCCAGTTTATGATGATGACTTTTAGACTTATAACTCCTTCTAGCCATTTCACACAAGCACTGAAGCCTTTAGCTTTTTACCTCATCAGTATATTTGTCACCCTGCCAGGTAAAGATCAGAGGTCATCTTTTCTGAAAATCTTGCAATAACTCGAGAATGAAGTCTCCTTATATTTTCAAATCGATACCATAGATATATCTACTAAAAGCAGACTCATCTCAGATGAGTTTGAATCTCATTGTCCTTGACCTCAAGGTCAGAAGTTAGACGACAAGGTGACATAGGATTTTGAAATTGAAACGAAGGGTGGATCTACGAGGAGGCTGAGGGGTAGCACTGGCCAGTATTTTCTTGAATATTACACGATAGTTGCGTAACTCAAAGTTATTCTCTTTATAAATAAATGCTACAGTGTTACAGAGCTAGGCTAAGGATGTTGTACTATACTGATATTAAAAATGGCAAGCAAATAGAAAAAAGTTCCCATACAGTCACCTCTGAACCTTTGGTTAAAGGGATAACATGCTGACTCATGTCTTGCCTTCACCTTACTTTTCACTTTAAATATGTGAGTAAAGGAAGTGTGTCGCTTTTGCTCAAATAATGTACAACCAGGTGCAGTGACTGCTCAGTTTCCTGCCAGCTTGTTGTAAAAGGTCTCCATTTCCCCCCCCTTTTTTTGCAGTCAAGCCTTTTAAAATGTGCTGATCTCTTTTAGAACATGATCCGCCTACAGGGAGAGTTGGAGAATGGACCAGCATGGTCTAATTCTTCAGAATCTTCTGATGATTCAACCAGCCCACAGCTGCCTGCACATCCAAAGGTAACACACAACAGATATGGAACTCTCATCTATGACATGATAATATTAAAGATTCAATCTGTATCTCTCTTCCTCAGATTCAGAGGGGCTACAGCTGTTTGAACATTACACAGTAACAAAAGTATTATGAATACAAGATAAACTTTGATATGTATTATGTTTATAGTATGTACAGCAGATCATGTGCATGTGTACAGTCTTGTAAAAACTAAGTACATTGCATGATTCAGTAGCTTGAGGAGCCGCCGGTACCATGCACAATTGGTTTCTTTAACGAGCCTCAGTCCTCACTCGGTCTACTCTTTATCCTGGTCTGGTTTGCTTACTTTACTGTGTTTACTACTTTAACTCTGTGACTCAGCGTGTCTCTCTTTCCAGGCAGTAGTGGTGACACCAGACATCCAGCCAGTTGGACAAAGGAGTTCCCTCCTTCAGCCTGATGTTTCTTCTTGCTCCGGAAACTGGCCTTCCTCAGCTCAAAAGGAAGGTATCATCCTACCAAAACAACCAGCGGAGAGCAACAGGTAGATTAAAAAAAATGTTAATGTTTTGTTTGCACATGAGAACAAAGATGAAATAACATTCTTATTCTGTGGTGAGCTCTATCAACATCTGATATATGAACTATTTTGCAGGCATGAGGAAAAGGGGACAGTCACTGTGATAACAAAGCCTGACGGTGAGGAAGAAGCTGCAGGGAAACACTCCTCTATGGCACCAGTGGATGTGCCGATAATTACCAGCAGTAACTCTACATTGTACTTACGCTCTCTGAGTCACATTAGTGAAAACAGTGCTGATGGGGTTGTGGTGCCTGTCAGTGAATCGGGGGACGTGATGTCTCTGGTCTCTGGAATCTCAATCAATGACATTGAAATGGAGGTGGCCAGCAGAACTCCTGAGTCACCCACTTCTGCTGACACTGACACAGCTGTTGATGTCACTGATCCCCACCCAGTCAGGAAGCAACACAATACATCCACCTCTGTGGATACATCGGTCCCTCTGAGAGCAGGAGCAGACTCCAATGTTGTAGAAAGTGGGGATATGACATATCTAGCTCTGCGGGTGCCAGTGGAGGAGGATATCCCAGCTTCAAGTTCCAACTGCCTGTCTGCTAAGGGCGATGGTCCAGTGGACAGTGGACTAGAGGATGCCTTGGTAGCTGTACTTTCCTCTATAGATGATTATAGAGGACCGTTTTCTGAGCTACAACTACTGGAACAAGAGCTGAAACTGCTGCAGGTTACACTGAAGGTGAGAGTAAAGCATAGTGAGAAACAAGAAAACAGGTTAGTAAAGTACAAAAAACTGCCTTAAGCTAAAAGTACTTTTTACAAATCCCCAAGTTTAATTTTCCCTTTTTGAACATTAAGTGGCAATGATTGTATGTATTTATAAATGTTAGCACAGCTTTCCCGTGCCATTAATATCGAAATATTATTACTGCAAATATTAGTTGTGCAATTACTATATAAGTTTCAGTGGTTACAGTATCTGGTATGCCTCCCTTGTCTTTACAGACAGCATACATTTGAGCTGAATGATTGCATGCTGTTCCAACATTATGTGACTATGATTCAAAGAACTCCTGAAAAAACAAAAAACTGAAGTGACTGCGTACAGCCTGACTATGGCTTTGTTTGTGAGTGCAGGGTGGGAGGCACAGCCGGTCACCCAGTGTAGTCAGCCTCACAGTGGAAACAGCTCTTGGCAGCTTTGACTTCCTGAATGGATCAGACTGGGAGGAGGAAGAAGAGGATGGTGATAAGAGGAGTAGACATGGCAGGTCAGTGCTGACAAATGAACTGAAAACCAACCATCCAAGCCTTTGCACACTTCAGTGTAATGACACAGTGAGACATACAGTCTTAATCAGTAAGCAAAGAAAGTATGATCTGAAGGTCATTAAACCTGAATCACAGTAATACCAGACACTGTAAATATGCCTACTTCATTTAACATCTACAAACTCCAGTGTGTTGGTGTCCTCTGGGCCATTGTACAGGGAGTGCAGAATTATTAGGCAAGTTGTATTTTTGAGGAATAATTTTATTATTGAACAACAACCATGTTCTCAATGAACCCAAAAAACTCATTAATATCAAAGCTGAATGTTTTTGGAAGTAGTTTTTAGTTTGTTTTTAGTTTTAGCTATTTTAGGGGGATATCTGTGTGTGCAGGTGACTATTACTGTGCATAATTATTAGGCAACTTAACAAAAAACAAATATATACCCATTTCAATTATTTAATTATCAATTATCGTCAACTTTTCTTTAATATCAGGTGTGTTTCCAGAACCACTAAAAACTGCTGTAATAAAACTTATACTGAAAAAGGACAATCTTGACAAGACACAAATGAACAACTACAGGCCGATCTCAAATCTCCCATTTTTAAGTAAGATCATTGAAAAAGCAGTTTCTCAACAGCTCAATTACTTCTTAACACAGAATAACTGCTATGATGCCTTCCAGTCAGGTTTTAGACAGAACCACAGCACTGAAACCGCTCTGACCAAAGTGTTGAATATGTCTGAATACAGACAGTGGAAAAATGTCAGTCTTAGTTTTACTGGATCTCAGTGCAGCATTTGATACAGTTGACCACAACATATTACTTAAACGACTGGAGAACTGGGCAGGTCTTTCGGGAACTGTACTAAACTGGTTCAAAACATACTTACAAAATATTTCCTGTTTTCTATCAATAGGTAACTTCACATCTGAGCAGACAAGTATCACATGTGGAGTTCCCCAAGGTTCCATCTTGGGACCCCTTCTGTTTAACATTTACATGCTCCCACTGGCACAGATTATAAAGAACAACAAAATAAACTACCACAGCTATGCAGATGACACACAAATATATATCACAATGTCACCAGGAGACCGAGGCCCTGTACAGGCTCTTGGTAAATGCATTGAGGAAATTAATGACGGGCTGTGCCACAATTTTCTCCAGCTAAACAAAAACAAAACTGAGGTAATAGTCTTTGGCGCCAAAGAAAAACGATTACAGGTCACCAGAGAACTTCAATCTATACACCTAAAAACCACAAACCAGGCGAGAAATTTGGGTGTAGTGATGGATGCAGACCTAAACTTAGAAAAACACATTAAGACAATAAGAAAATCAGCTTTCTATCACTGTTAGGATGCCTGGGTCGTTGACCCAGGGTTTTTGAGTTTATGATATTATTTATACTGTCTAGTTTTTGGTTTCTTTGAGTTCTGTCTTATGGCTTAGGTCTCTGTCTTCTTTAGTTGCTCTGTCTCCCCTATCACCTGCATCCCCTTGTCTAGTTCACGTCTATGTGTATCTTAAGTTCCTATATCCCCGTGTTCAGTCAGTGTTTGTGTCTGCCCTGTTCCCACGTCTCTGTTCCCTTTGTAGTGCCTGCATGTGAGTCTGTGTCTTTGTTCAGTCTGTGTTATGTGTTTCCTGTTTTACTTTGAAGGTCTCCGTCTTTTCTCAGTGTGTTCAGTTTACGCTTCTTTGGTCTCGTCAGTTCTGATTTGCCCCAGCTGTGTTTCCCTCCTGTTACTCATTTCCTGATTGCTCCCTCTGTGTATTTAAGCCCTGTGTTTCTTAGTGTCTGTGTCGCGATCTACCGTTTTCTTAGCTGTGTGTTCTGTCATTCCTCCGGTGTAAGTTTATTTTGATTTTTCCAGTTATGTTATATTTGAGTTTAACATTAAAGTTGTTTTGAGTTCACATCTGTCTCCGGAGTCTGCACCTTGGGTCCTATTCCTGTCTGCACACAGCCAGACCTAACAATCACCTCAAGAATATTTCAAGGATAAAAGATCTGATGTCTCAACAGGACCTGGAAAAACTAGTCCATGCAGTCATCTTTAGCAGGCTTGATTACTGTAACAGCATCTTTACAGGTCTACCTAAAAAATCAGTCAGACAACTACAGCTCATTCAGAACTCTGCTGCTCGAGTCCTCACTAAGACCAAAAAAGTGGACCACATCAGTCCAGCTCTGAGGTCTTTACACTGGCTGCCTGTCCGTCAGAGGATAGACTTTAAAGTTCTGATGCTGGTCTATAAAGCTCTGAATGGTTTAGGACCAAAATACATCAGTGACCTCCTGACCCAGTATGAACCTTCCAGATCCCTCAGGTCATCTGGATCTGGTCTTTTATTAGTTCCCAGAGTCAGAACCAGACACGGAGAAGCTGCATTCAGCTTTTATGCTCCTTATATCTGGAACAAACTCCCAGAAAGCCTCAGATCAGCTGAAACACTCAGTTTATTTAAATCCAGGTTGAAGACTCACCTGTTCTCAGCTGCATTTGAATAAAGCACCAAATCCACACTTTTAAGCTTAAATTTCAAAACTTACATTTAACTACTAATTTTATCTATTGTTCTGATTTTATCTGTTTTGATTTTATAGTGTTTTGTTTGTGAGTTTGTTTGCTTGTTTTAATCAATTTTAAATCATGCTTTTTATTTGTTTTTGTTTCTAATGTCTCTGTAAAGCACTTTGAATCACCTTGTTGTTGAATTGTGCTATACAAATAAACTTGCCTTGCCTTATTTTTACCAGTGACACCAATATAACATCTCCACATTCACAAATATAAATTTCTGACATTCAAAAACAAAAACAAATCAGCGACCAATATAGCCACCTTTCTTTGCAAGGACACTCAAAAGCCTGCCATCCATGGATTCTGTCAGTGTTTTGATCTGTTCACCATCAACATTGCGTGCAGCAGCAACCACAGCCTCCCAGACACTGTTCAGAGAGGTGTACTGTTTTCCCTCCTTGTAAATCTCACATGTGATGATGGACCACAGGTTCTCAATGGGGTTCAGATCATGTGAACAAGGAGGCCATGTGATTAGTTTTTCTTCTTTTATACCCTTTCTTGCCAGCCACGCTGTGGAGTACTTGGACGCGTGTGATGGAGCATTGTCCTGCATGAAAATCATGTTTTTCTTGAAGGATGCAGACTTCTTCCTGTACCACTGCTTGAAGAAGGTGTCTTCCAGAAACTGGCAGTAGGACTGGAAGTTGAGCTTGACTCCATCCTCAACCCGAAAAGGCCCCACAAGCTCATCTTTGATGATACCAGCCCAAACCAGTACTCCACCTCCTCCTTGCTGGCGTCTGAGTCGGACTGGAGCTCTCTGCCATTTACCAATCCAGCCATGGGCCCATCCATCTGGCCCATCAAGACTCACTCTCATTTCATCAGTCCATAAAACCTTAGAAAAACCAGTCTTGAGATATTTCTTGGCCCAGTCTTGACGTTTCAGCTTGTGTGTCTTGTTCAGTGGTGGTCATCTTTCAGCCTTTCTTACCTTGGCCATGTCTCTGAGTATTGCACACCTTGTGCTTTTGGGCACTCCAGTGATGTTGCAGCTCTGAAATATGGCCAAACTGGTGGCAAGTGGCATCTTAGCAGCTGCACGCTTGACTTTTCTCAGTTCATGGGCAGTTATTTTGCGCCTTGGTTTTTCCACACGCTTCTTGCGACCCTGTTGACTATTTTGAATGAAACGCTTGATTGTTCGATGATCACGCTTCAGAAGCTTTGCAATTTTGAGACTGCTGCATCCCTCTGCAAGATATCTCACTATTTTTGACTTTTCTGAGCCTGTCAAGTCCTTCTTTTGACCCATTTTGCCAAAGGAAAGGACGTTGCCTAATAATTATGCACACCTGATATAGGGTGTTGATGTCATTAGACCACACCCCTTCTCATTACAGAGATGCACATCACCTAATATGCTTAATTGGTAGTAGGCTTTCGAGCCTATACAGCTTGGAGTAAGACAACATGCATGAAGAGGATGATGTGGACAAAATACTCATTTGCCTAATAATTCTGCACTCCCTGTATGATCACTGTAGTACAGCTGTAAGCAGGGTCAAACTAACACATAACCTGACTGAAATAATGCTTAAAAATCATATTTTATTATTTTTGCCAAAGGTCATTAGCTGAATGGCCTTATCCCACAGTTGTGCCTGTATATAACTGAGCTTAATATAAAGCTAATCTGCAATCCTAAAATAAAAAGCAAACTTGGTGGAACTTCTCACAACCAGTTGGATTAATCACTGGCAAAAATGAGTTTAAAACAACAATATAAACTGGGTTTTTTTTTTTTGGTTTTTTTTTATTTTTTTATTTATGGAGTTCATGATGTATTGTACAAAATATGGAATGGAATCTTAATGGTTAAGAAAAGAGCAATTTCTGTACCCAAGAGACGAGGCTGGAACAGTACTGAATAGCTCTGACTGTCAGCCAGTCAGATTCATTTACCACTTACTGAACTGAAACTCATCAAAAAGTATTATTCTTCTTGGGAAATTATCAACTTCTCTGGGTTTTAATGTTGAGAGCCTTTTTTTTTCCATGGACAGTACATTTAAATTACATTTAAACCGTATTGAACTTTATATGGATAAAACAGCGTTAATGGAAATGTTATGTAACACTGGATGTTTTGTGTGTGTGTGTGTGTGTGTGTGTGTGGGTCTCTGCTGGACAGAGGCTGGGACAGCCCTTCCTCCTCCAACGTACCGCTAACCACAGGCTGCACCACTCTAGACTGCTGCCTGGTGGTCCATTTGAGGAACTGCAATGCACAGTTGTTGGTAAGAGATCTGCAACACTATCCTCATGTTATTAGTAGAGCTGGCACGATACCACTTTTTTATGTCCAATACCGATACCGATATCATAAATTTGGATATCTGCCGATACCGATATGAATCCGATATAGTGTTTTTTAATCAACAAAACTGTTTTTTTTTTAAATATCTTGCTGAATTTTGTATAAGTTCATACTCAAGTTTAAAACAACAACTACACTAAAGCTATTCTGTTATACCTGTATGCAAAAAAAAATGTTTCATAGTTCAGCAATACTGATCAATCTAATAAACTTAGACCTACACCATCCTCCCTATTCTGGTATTTTAAAGAGTACTTAGCGTAAATATTAAGCAACCTAACTAATAGGGTTCCAACTCCCAGCAACAACAAAAATAAATAAATAAAAAATAGGGAACCACCCCTCACGCTCCACCTCATGATGCTTAATCGACGTAATCAACCTTAATTTGATGCAGTGTGAAAAAAAAAATGCACAGAAATCAATTATTTTTCAAGAAATATTAAATAGATTCAACATCTTTCTTCAACAAAATTGCAGACTGCACAGATGGTACCTTCCCAAAGGAAAAAGTACTATAGCTTACTAGGGTATATTTATTACCGTAGACTCAACAGTTACTATATACAGTAATGGACTTCTATTCCTTTTACATCAAATTAAAACTTTGGGTGTAAGATTCGGATAATTATTTATTAAAAGCTAGACATTTTAAATGAGAATAAAGAAAAGTGTGTCTTTGTGCCCCTTTTCCCTGTTCATGCCCTATCGTCCCCCCTGGCTAAACTTTGCTAGATCCGCCCCTGCACAGTTACAGCCGTCAGCTACGTAGAAAAAGATCCTGGAGTAGAAAGTAATATTAAATACATTCTAACAACAGCTGATCAAGCTTAAACGTGCTGCTGTTGTTTATCCACTGGTTTCCTCTTTCTGGTGCAAAGTGGGCCAAAAGCAAACTAGAGAGACGGACTCGCGACAGAAAAGCCGATCAGCTGATCGTTAAGCAGTTTCATGATTGAAGTAGCAGCAAGAGGAGGCAGTCACTCCATATATCGCTTGTTAAGCTTAACGCAGGAATGCTTTACAAACATTCAGAGATGGACTTACACACTTGCTTTACTTCTCTCGGGGATAACTTTGTCGGAGATGAAATGCCGGGTTGCTAGCGAAGCTCCACATGCTATCCAGACCACCACAGGTCCCGCATGCCACAGCCGCTCTATCACGTGATGCACACTGCTCCGACGTGCTAACGTTCTGAGGTGAGTTACGGCGCGTTGCAAGTTTTGTGAGGTGCTTTCGTGATATTTAATGGATCGGATTACATTTTTTATTTTTCTCCGATATCCGATCCAGTAATTTAGGTCAGTATCGGACCGATACCAATATGTAATATCGGATCGGTCCATCTCTAGTTATTAGCCAAACTCATATGTAGCTACCTCACATTCTCATGGCACATCGATACCTTAAGTTCACTCTGCTCTCATCTACGGCTGTGGGTAGTGAATAATTAAAATTTTCACCGATGCAAGTCATGGGAATTGGCTTCCTTTGAAAGGTGTCTATGCTCAGCCTTAGACATGGGCTGAGGAACACAGTCTGCATCATAAGGAGTCAGTTGAGTTGATTCAGGCATCTGACTAGGATGGTTGCTGAACATCTCCTCAGAAAGATGTTTTGGGCATGTCTGACCAGGGGAACTCTGATGAAAACCCAGTCAAGTTTGTTTACATACAGTCAATACCATTATTTTCTTTTTTTAAAAATCCATTCAATTGGCATAGTGTTTGATAGTTATGTAATCATAGTTTCAGGATGCCATTGAAAAGTATTATTCACTCACTGATGAGTTAAAGCAGTAGCAGCTGTGAGGGCTGTTGTATTGCTAATTGTAATATTGGTCACTTCTTTTACAAGTGTTTTGTTTTGTTTGTTTTTAAGTGTCTGGGCAAGTTTGGTCCTCTGAGATGTGGAGAGATGTATGCCTTGGACAGACTGCTGAGAGAGGCTCGTGTCCTCGAAATCATCCGACGCGTCACCAAAGAAAACCCACAGAAAATCAGACCAGCTACTGAAGGTGATTTGTGTCGTTTATGTTCATTTCATGTGCATTTGTTTAAACATCCATAAATGCATTTATTCAGAATAACTGTATAGACAAGAAAAAGAAGTTGAAGAGGAATTTTCATTAGTGGGAGCATTCCTTCTGGAGCATAAGGGTGAAAATGTCTGCTTTTGGCTTGGATGACAACTAGTGTCATCAGAAACATTTCATGGGTATATGGAAGTAGAGATTCCACTAAATAATAAGTAATTATGGATTTTGTCATGCAGCCTGTCAAGAAGGTAAAACAGACTTTACAAGGCACTGATTCAAAGCAAGCTGCAACCTTATACTATTAATAAATTTCCTGTGTTATGTATGGCACTAACCCCCAGTATCTTGCTTTCCTACCTTGCTTATAACGGTCTCCTGTTTTCTGTTTGTCAGTTATCCCGGCGCTAGGTCTGTGTCTGGGTGCTGTGTCGCTATGGCAAGAATGTGTGGGACAGGGTAGCATGTACAGCGTCTCTGCTGAAAGGTTCCTGAATACACTGTCGACAATCTACGCTGGTTTACTGCCTGAAAGGGCCGAAGCAGGTAAATCATCATTAGTGGGTATACTGCACACGCTGGTACAGTGGGGCAAAAAAGTATTTAGTCAGCCACCGATTGTGCAAGTTCCCCCACTTAAAATGATGACAGAGGTCAGTAATTTGCACCAGAGGTGCACTTCAACTGTGAGAGACAGAATGTGAAAAAAAAATCCATTAATTCACATGGTAGGATTTGTAAAGAATTTATTCGTAAATCAGGGTGGAAAATAAGTATTTGGTCACCTCAAACATGGAAAATCTCTGGCTCTCACAGACCTGTAACATCTTCTGTAAGAAGCTTTTCTGTCCCCCACTCGTTACCTGTATGAATGGCACCTGTTTGAACTCATCATCTGTATAAAAGACACCTGTCCACAGCCTCAAACAGTCAGACTCCAAACTCCGCCAAGACCAAAGAGCTTTCGAAGGACACCAGGAAAAGTATTGTAGACCTGAACCAGACTGGGAAGAGTGAATCTACAATAGGCAAGCAGCTTGGTGTGAAAAAATCAACTGTGGGAGCAATCATCAGAAAATGGAAGACATACAAGACCACTGATAATCTCCCTCGATCTGGGGCTCCACGCAAGATCTCATCCCGTGGGGCCAAAATGATCATGAGAACGGTGAGCAAAGATCCCAGAACCACACGGGGGGACCTGGTGAATGACCTGCAGAGAGCTGGGACCAAAGTAACAAAGGTCACCATCAGTAACACACTACAACGGCAGGGAATCAAATCCCGCAGTGCCAGACGTGTTCCGCTGCTGAAGCCAGTGCATGTCCAGGCCCGTCTGAAGTTTGCCAGAGAGCACATGGATGATACAGCAGAGGATTGGGAGAATGTCATGTGGTCAGATGAAACCAAAGTAGAACTTTTTGGTATAAACTCAACTCGTCGTGTTTGGAGGACGAAGAATACTGAGTTGCATCCCAAGAACACCATACCTACTGTGAAGCATGGGGGTGGAAACATCATGCTATGGGGCTGTTTTTCTGCCAAGGGGACAGGACGACTGATCCGTGTTAAGGACAGAATGAATGGGGCCATGTATCGTGAGATTTTGAGCCAAAACCTCCTTCCATCAGTGAGAACTTTGAAGATGAAACGAGGCTGGGTCTTCCAACATGACAATGATCCAAAACACACCGCCCGGGCAACAAAGGAGTGGCTCCGTAAGAAGCATTTGAAAGTCCTGGAGTGGCCTAGCCAGTCTCCAGACCTCAACCCCATAGAAAATCTGTGGCGGGAGTTGAAAGTCCGTGTTGCTCAGCGACAGCCCCAAAGCATCACTGCTCTCGAGAAGATCTGCATGGAGGAATGGGCCAAAATACCAGCTACTGTGTGTGCAAACCTGGTAAAGACCTATAGTAAACGTTTGACCTCTGTTATTGCCAACAAAGGTTATGTTACAAAGTATTGAGTTGTATTTTTGTTATTGACCAAATACTTATTTTCCACCCTGATTTACGAATAAATTCTTTACAAATCCTACCATGTGGATTCATGGATTTTTTTTTTTTTCACATTCTGTCTCTCACAGTTGAAGTGTACCTCTGGTGCAAATTACTGACCTCTGTCATCATTTTAAGTGGGGGAACTTGCACAATTGGTGGCTGACTAAATACTTTTTTGCCCCACTGTATGTGGAGCATATTAACATCTGTGTTTGTGTGTATGCAGTGTTCTTGTGCCTGGTTGAGCGTGTACTGGATCAGAGGTTACCACGACGAGGAAGCAGCAGGGACAACATGATGGTGACGTTGTTCCAGCTGTGGAGCTACTTGGACTCGAATGCTGTCAGTGATATGGACACACACATCATTGAACTGGCAAAAGAGGGTGGGTGTACACACACACACACACACACACACACACACACACACACACACACACACACACACACACACACACACACACACACACACACACACACACACACGATAGGTCAGATACATACTCGTTAAATGTTTAAGACCAGATTTACTAATTGTCAGTGCCAGTTCAAAATCTTCTTTTCATTTTAATAAGCATTTACACATTTGATACTGTGCCACAGTATCAGGTACAGTGGGGCAAAAAAGTATTTAGTCAGCCACCGATTGTGCAAGTTCCCCCACTTAAAATGATGACAGAGGTCAGTAATTTGCACCAGAGGTACACTTCAACTGTGAGAGACAGAATGTGAAAGAAAAATCCATGAATCCACATGGTAGGATTTGTAAAGAATTTATTCGTAAATCAGGGTGGAAAATAAGTATTTGGTCAATAACAAAAATACAACTCAATACTTTGTAACATAACCTTTGTTGGCAATAACAGAGGTCAAACGTTTACTATAGGTCTTTACCAGGTTTGCACACACAGTAGCTGGTATTTTGGCCCATTCCTCCATGCAGATCTTCTCGAGAGCAGTGATGTTTTGGGGCTGTCGCCGAGCAACACGGACTTTCAACTCCCGCCACAGATTTTCTATGGGGTTGAGGTCTGGAGACTGGCTAGGCCACTCCAGGACTTTCAAATGCTTCTTACGGAGCCACTCCTTTGTTGCCCGGGCGGTGTGTTTTGGATCATTGTCATGTTGGAAGACCCAGCCTCGTTTCATCTTCAAAGTTCTCACTGATGGAAGGAGGTTTTGGCTCAAAATCTCACGATACATGGCCCCATTCATTCTGTCCTTAACACGGATCAGTCGTCCTGTCCCCTTGGCAGAAAAACAGCCCCATAGCATGATGTTTCCACCCCCATGCTTCACAGTAGGTATGGTGTTCTTGGGATGCAACTCAGTATTCTTCTTCCTCCAAACACGACGAGTTGAGTTTATACCAAAAAGTTCTACTTTGGTTTCATCTGACCACATGACATTCTCCCAATCCTCTGCTGTATCATCCATGTGCTCTCTGGCAAACTTCAGACGGGCCTGGACATGCACTGGCTTCAGCAGCGGAACACGTCTGGCACTGCGGGATTTGATTCCCTGCCGTTGTAGTGTGTTACTGATGGTGACCTTTGTTACTTTGGTCCCAGCTCTCTGCAGGTCATTCACCAGGTCCCCCCGTGTGGTTCTGGGATCTTTGCTCACCGTTCTCATGATCATTTTGACCCCACGGCATGAGATCTTGCGTGGAGCCCCAGATCGAGGGAGATTATCAGTGGTCTTGTATGTCTTCCATTTTCTGATGATTGCTCCCACAGTTGATTTTTTCACACCAAGCTGCTTGCCTATTGTAGATTCACTCTTCCCAGTCTGGTGCAGGTCTACAATACTTTTCCTGGTGTCCTTCGAAAACTCTTTGGTCTTGGCCATGGCGGAGTTTGGAGTCTGACTGTTTGAGGCTGTGGACAGGTGTCTTTTATACAGATGATGAGTTCAAACAGGTGCCATTCATACAGGTAACGAGTGGGGGACAGAAAAGCTTCTTACAGAAGACGTTACAGGTCTGTGAGAGCCAGAGATTTTCCTTGTTTGAGGTGACCAAATACTTATTTTCCACCCTAATTTACGAATAAATTCTTTACAAATCCTACCATGTGAATTCATGGATTTTTTTTTTTTTTTCACATTCTGTCTCTCACAGTTGAATTGTACCTCTGGTGCAAATTACTGACCTCTGTCTTCATTTTAGGTGGGGGAACTTGCACAATCGGTGGCTGACTAAATACTTTTTTGCCCCACTGTAGGTGTGTGTGTGTGTGTGTGTGTGTGTGTGTGTGTGTGTGTGTGTGTGTGAGAGAGAAAGAAAGAGTGAAAGAAAGAGACCAGATGCTCTCATTTTCACTTCCAAAGCTGTGAGTATACTGTTAGCATGGCAGGTGTGTGCATGTGTGGTAGCCTACTATTTCCTGCTCTTTCCAGATGTATGTATAAAAATTTATTAAAGTGAACATTTTCATAATTGACAACAAAAATATCTACAATTTTATAACTAAAAGGTTTCATATTTTTATTTTCAATTAAACATTTGCATCTGCACATCCTGCAGGTCAGCTATTACAAACTGAGTTCTGGTGTGTTCCACAGTAGAGATTATAATCTCTTGAAACCTGTTGATGCTTTATCAGCTACCTCTCTGAATTCCCATGCTGTTTCCAAAGAGGATCACATGTGTAAAAACCTGCATTTGCAATGTTATTTTTGTCATTACATTACTTGATCCATCTTGAAGAATTTTACACTCGTTTCCGCAATAATCTGCAGTTGTGGCATGAAGCTCTGTAGCTCTGTTTATTAGATCAGGCCCATGGAGTGTGCTGGAAGCAACAATCCAGCCAGGCAATTGCCTGATTTGTTCCCGCATTAGTTAAATTCAATGTAGTAGGGCAGTTAGCAGGAGAAAGACTATGTTATGGTCCAAAAGTTTTGGATATATTTCTCATTACAGCTCAGCTGTGTGATGTATATGAGGTTTCAGGGCTGTAGTGTAAAAATGGCTTAAAAGGAAAAACAAGAGTAAAACTTGTGCTATTAATAACCTCCAATAACCTTCCTTCAACAGTATGGTTGGTACAGAACCTGGCGTCATCTGACCAGGATGTGATTGTCAATGCTCTACGCCGCCCTGCAGAGTGCAGCCTGAGGAGAGAAGGAATTCATGCCGTGGCCAAATTACTAAAAGATCCTCGGGGCAAAGTGTCTGCCTCTGCCAGCTCTGTACTGAGAAGCCTCGCTGCTCAGCCCAGACAGAGAAAACAGGTGAGGTGTGTGTGTGTGTGTGTGTGTGTGAGAGAGAGAGAAAGATTTTCACTGGGGGTTTTTTTGGGGGTTTTTTTCTTCTGTAAAAAATGTTACCTGCTAAATTGTCCTAATTGTTTTCTTCCTGAATGGCAAAAGGACCTTTTGATCCTGCTGTATATAGACCTGTGCATGGTGTGTGCTGCAGAAGCCAGTAACAACCCCATAACTGGTGTATCAAAGCCTGGAAACATTTTGTGCATCTTGTCCTTCTCAGGCTTTGGTCAGCTGTTTGGAGCTGCTGGAAGATGAGAATGTGGACAATCGAGTGTGTGGATGCAAAGCTTTAGCTTGTCTCAAGGTACAAAAAAGCACAGAGTTTATGCTATTATCCAAAGCTGCTGTTCTGATTTGATAAAGGTGACATTTAAACACCTGTCTGTATGCACTCTGTTTGGAGTGTATTATACAAAATGCATTTGTCACTGTATTCATTCTATTATTCCAGGCCAAAGAAAGCATTGATCAGTTGGTGTATCTCTGCCGGGCAGACAAGGAAGAAGTACGAGATGCTGCCAAACAAACACTGCTAGTGCTTGGTAATAATAAACTTCATATTATTTACAATAGAACAGCAAGACTAACTCTTTTCAGACTGTAGTTTGGATTTTATGGTTGGTTATACTCCATTTCTATTATGTTCATTTTACTCTGACATATTCTAAAATGTAATGATGCACTTCTGTGCAGACTGTCGAGGTTTGAGAATTGCTAATTGGATCCCAACTTATCTGTCTCAGTATTAATAGTATTTGACATAATGGTCACTTAACTGGGAGTAATATTGACCTGCACTATAAAATGAGAACCTTTTTTAATATGCCTTGATGTAAATGTTGAGAATAATGCACAAGCAACAGTAACGTGACTGTAAGAGTTCTGATCCATTTGTTTTAATCTGTTCATTCATCTATTTGTGGCATTCATCTACAAGTTGATAATTAAGGCAGACATAATGAAATCTATATTTTATTTTCTTCCATTTGTCTTTGACCGGTACAGATGTCTTTGGAGAAAATGAACATATCCATCCAGTCTTTTCCTCCTTTAATTTATTTCTTACATTTTCTTTGCTCTTCCATTCATGTTGTGGAGCAGGTGAGGAAGGGAAGATGGCCCATAGACACGTGGAGACGTCTCAGGACAGCATCTCAAGACTTTTTGCACCAGGAAGCATGGCCAGCACAGCTTTTTAACACAACATGCACACAGGCGGTTACAGCTGCTGAAAACAAAAATTCAGTGACAACACTGGAGAGTATAATGTCATTTTTGCAATGCTTTGACATGGTGTCACAGGAATATAGGGTATACTGTCCTCTTCAGCTACGACTGTAGCTGAAAACATAAAGAAAAATGTGTTAAATGCAGTATATATCCTGTCAGAACAAAACTCAAAGGGACAAACTCCAACACTGGCTGCAAACAAGAAATGCATCAGACGTCTTAATAATGTAAAATATTCATCTACATCATAAGTCAAAAGCTTTTCAGAGTCACCTTGTTTATAATTATTTTCCTGGGTCCACAAATGCGCAAAATGTTAAATCTTTATACTGTTTACTTACTGCTACTACTATTTCTTTGGATGCTCTAGAAAGCTGTGGGTTTTTACCAATGATATTACAGTCACTACACTAAGAGTCATATACCAGTGGGAGTTAGACTTCTGCTATTACATGAAAATGTGTTTTCTTAACGGGCGCTGCTGTCTCCAGCCTAGCTTAAAGGCTGCTTGGACTATCTCCCCACATGTCACTGTCAAAGTAACTATTTACTGTACTTCTACTTGCTTGCTACTGAATAGATCTGAAGCCAAGTCCAAATGATTTTTTTTAAAAATAGGACCACATTATAGACTGCATATGAATGATGGACATGGTGATGTCAGACGCCACATTATGAAGTGTAAACTTTGGCATTCTTGCCACTGCCATGTTAGCTTTTTGGAGCAGGAAATTGCTAACTTTATACTACTAAACTCTAAGCTAACAACTAAGCTTGTTTAGCTAGCTGGATTTCTAACCTGCAATGCACAGGCAAGTCTGGTAAGTAGTGATAAGTAACAGAATAAGAACATACTAAAATTACATTTACCAACACTGCCACATAGATTTCTCAAGTGGTCTGTAGCACATACTTTATTAGCTCAAATATGGCAGGTCCAGTTTAGTAACTCTACGTGGTGGACGTGGAACTTAAGCAGACATCTATTAGGTATAACTCCCTGTGCCAAGACAAAGTGTCAAAATGTAATGAACATGTCATGGAGGGTGACTGACAACCAGCCCCTCCCCCACTTATAGTTATTGCAAACCTGTTTATTTCTGCTCTGAACTGGGACATTTTAACAGGGGAATCTATGGATGGCCTCGCCTTTAGAGCAAGCATCAAGTGAAGATTAGACAAACTACAGCTTGTGGAACGTCTGCAGTGATGGTTACCATTTAGCCTATGTTCTTTAAAAGAAAAAAAACTACATACACAGTGCCCATCAGACACTTTATCATGGTGTTGCTTGTAAATCTGCCTTAATGTTGCATTATTTGCTTACCAGAATTTGACATTTTTACAGATGAAATGCTGTAAGAAGCATTTTTTTTTTTTTTTTGCAAAGTGTTCTTAGCTAACTGTGAAGCTATTAAAGTATATTTACACCTAAAAGCATGAATTAACATGTCTAAAATGAAGATACTGCTTTTTATGACACGATATTGAAACTGAGCTCTGTCAGTGTCGACGAAGTAAACACAAGCAACACAGACTGACTGAAGAGGTGCAGGATGACTTTACACCTGAACTTTTTACATGGTGTATTCTACATGGCAACACATTCTAATCAAATCTCACCAAAAACAAAGACCAAAGAATGTAACGCATGAAAAGTTAATGAACAGAACATGCTACAGTTTAAAAAGTAGTGTGTCTGTGGAGTTGGTAGATTAACTAAAGACATCAGCCTTCTCTGAGGCAGAGTTCATCGTTTGAGCCAAAACACCAAAGTCCAAGAGCAAACCTTTTTGCAAATACAAATACTAAAGCAGAAGTCGACATTCCTTCACTGAAGTGGAAATGCATACTAACTTAAATATGGAAAAAACTTTGGTTTGTTCTTAAAATACACATATTCTTGAATTTAATAATATGCATTTTTTTTGTATTTCATCACAGAAATGACTAGAAGATTATGAATGTAAGGATATTAAGGGATAGAAAAATGGTGTACAGAAATGCTTCAAAGACCATTTAATTGATTAGCAAAGACAGTTATGGAATATATCTTGAGATTTTTATTTTTGAGTGCAAAGGAGTGCTTACTGTCACCGTAAGCGATGCCGCATCACTGTGCATTAAAATAAGATTTTTAGAGGTTAACGCTTGAGAGCCCTCGTGTGTCTCAGGACATGTTGGATGAGAGCAGCACTTTAGAAAGCAAAGTATGTGATAGTATTATTGGGTTTTTTGTTATTAATGTTAATGTCATGGGAACTAGTTGGTTGGCTCTTTCAACAGAGCTGAACCAAAAAGCTGCTCAGAATTGCGTAATAAGGCTGATGTAGAGAGGGGCAATCTCGGTTAGTGCAGTGAAATCAGAAACAGACTATTACAAAAATGAAGTGACATCTAAACGTCCACTGTGCCTGTAGAAAGTGTGGATCCTGCTATTTATTTTTGACATGCACGCCTCACCTAAACATTACTGCAAACCAAATACACCAACTTGTAGCAGTGATTCCTTAACATTGGCAGACTTGGCAAGAAACTGAGCTCTACCACCCAAACAACTGCTCAGGAATAGAAAACCAAGATCCCACCTTTGAACCCGATCCGTACACTCCCCTAGATCGCAATCAGATCTGCAGGGTGTCATGGGATCCCTACAGAGTCTCTGTCCGCACCTAAATTAGTTGGAGCTGTTTTGGCAGCTTGAGAAAATGCTACACAATATTATGCAGACCACTGTAATTCTGGCTGATGGAGATAGATATATATATAAAAATTGAGTTTTAAAAAATGACCTTTATTTTTAAAGCACATTAGTTTTTCAACAAACAACAAGGGGGAAAAGTGTTTTGTACTTGTGGATCATGCAGGTAATAATAATCTTTGTTTAGATACAGCATGATTCGGACACTGTACCAGGACACAGAGTCCAAACAAACATGTTGTGTAATGTACAGATGACACATATGACTGAAAATGCCAAAGTGTCCAAGTGACTTCAGTTCCTCACTTTAATGCATTCTTATAATAGTTTTACAGTGACACTGCTGATGCTAATGTCACTATACTGCCTTTTCTCATTTGCTAAGTACCATTACTGGAATTTAACTTGGGGCCTACAGCTGTATATCCCAATCTCATACTGTATGACACTAGTACTGTGATAAAGACCAGTTGGATTAACATTGACAGATGAGCAGTTATAGCTGTGCTATCAGATGGAAGGTCTTGAATTAGACTATCTTTGATCAGAATGGTGCAAGGAAGAGGACTGTCCCTCTACTGCCATCATGGGGTCATACTTGAGTATGTCTACCTGGTTTTGCAAAATTTGATTCCCATCAGCCTCAGCTGTACTCTATATTAAGCAAAGTGTAGCATACAGTTAAACTAAACTAATTCTGTTAACATTATACAGAATCAAAATGTTGACTTTGTAATTGTGAAAGTTTTTGTTAGCAGTTGCATTTACCTCAGAATGCTGCTGTGACTTTTGTAGTGGTTCAGTGAGGCACTAACTTGGCTATAGTGTCTGCAGGCCTGGTATTTTACTTTTATTGCTTTGTGAACTTTCATGACAATGTCTGATTTTTCATTGTTATATCAAACTCAGCAGTTTTAGTCTCACTGATGCTTGATGGCAGTTTTTAACAAGAATATTTTTTTTTCCTTATGTGTTTCTAGGTTCCTAATGCACTACCTAATGGATTAAGTCCATTTAATCAAATTAATCCAAAGTTGTGAGTCATCGCAATGCATTCAGCGAGCTTTTCTCTCCTGATGGGAGTGGTCCCTTCCAAAATTAGACACAAGTGCCAGATCTTAACCCAACTGAACGGCTGTTAGAGATATTGAACCAAAATGTAGAGCTCCAGATGCTCAAATCAATTTGATGGAGTATTGAAGCTGTTCTAGTTAGATGTATTGATCATGCATGTTACTATTGTTTTCCTTTGATTTGTCACCCATCTGAGATGAGTTGTGAGGAAAAGCCAACTAAAAATGTATTTAAATGGTAGGGATTTGGGCAAACAGATTTAAAACAACAAAAAAAAGATTTAAACTGTGGGACTTTGGTCTATTTTACTTCATGAAATATGAGCTGGATGTCACATTTTAGTACTTATAGATTCAGAAAAGAGAGTGTTTTACAGCTGTAGTTATCGTATGCACATCACAAATGCTGAAGGGAGGAAAAAAGGAGAAAAAAATGAAACAACTTGGAATTTCCTTCAAAGCATCCATAATGATCTTTGGTTTGATTATACAATTTAAGAAGATCACCAGAATGCACTGTCACTGGAATCCTGTTATAGAGTTGATGTCATGCAGGGAATCACTGTATATATCAATGCTACCACTGTATTTAATGTTCTTACTACACTGACTTCTATAGGACAACAGAAATCTACAGGTGTTCCTTTTGCAATCAAGGTATCTCAGTTTTTAAGTGCCTTGATTTTTTTTTTATAAGAGATATGCAATAAGACAGAAATGAGATACTTTAAGAATGAAGAGAATGTGAAGTGATGAAATCCCATTGCAGGACACACATGTATGCAATTGTTTTTTATCAAGCTTGGGGAATTGTGAAACATTGTAAACAAATGTTTTATTTCTAGTGTTCTGAGATGTATTTTCAAACATTCTTGTGTCAAGTATATTGAAAAAAACTATTAAAACATTGTAAGATAGCTTCCTGTGCGATTGATCATCTTTAGATGAAGAGCTCTGTGTATCTGAGTGTTAACCCACCCACCACCACCACCCCACAAACACACACACAGAGTAGAATTTTAGCCATAGAACACTAAATTTTGGAAGGTGTGTGTGTGTGTGTGTGTGTGTGTGTGTGTGTGTGTGTGTGTGAGAGAGAGAGAAAGATTTTCACTGGGGGTTTTTTTGGGGGTTTTTTTCTTCTGTAAAAAATGTTACCTGCTAAATTGTCCTAATTGTTTTCTTCCTGAATGGCAAAAGGACCTTTTGATCCTGCTGTGTGTGTGTGTGTGTGTGTGTGTGTGTGTGTGTGGAGAGAGAGATTTAAAAAAGCAGGACACAGTTACAGCTCAGATGTGGGTGTATATCTTCAGGATAATCATCCAAGTCATTTCATGTAATAAATGGAAAGCTAAAAGCTTTGCATATCTTTATTTTAGTGTCAGACACAAATAAAAAAAGTTAATATTTCCCATAATATTAAACAGACTAAAAACATTTCAGTTACATAACTTTTTCTTTGGTTCTAAATGAGCATGTTTTCATTTGTATGTTTTATTGAAAACGTTAACGCCTCGGGTTTATTCTCTTGTGAATGTCGCATTTCCGAGGGTTGTGAAAGCGTCCGTTTTCCTAACGTTGTGATAAATAGGCTTCACTGTATTCCAACGGGGCGCCCCTCCTGGCCAATCAGTGTGTCTGCAGCAGCTTCGACACCACCCCCCAGCGGCCGCACAGGCGCACTGAGCTTCCAACTGCCATTTTGTGGCAGAAGCTACTCTGCTAAAGCAGGAGAAGGATTAAAACAAACTGCGAAGAAGCCCGCATTTTTCCCTAGTCGGCTAAACTTTGTAGCACAGACTCTGTGCTTTCCGCCGAGTTAAGC